TAATATTTAAAATTAGATTTAATATTTTAAATATTTTAAATGTTAATTATTGTAATATTTTAATATTTAATAAGAATTTATTGTGATTAGACGGACAAGATTTAATATATAATAGAATCATATAAAGTTTTGCTATAAGACTTTGTATAGTGGCTTAACAGATTCGATATAAAATTAAAGCAACAGTATTGCATCAGCCATCTAAATGACAGATTAAGTTCTCAGTTACATTAAACCAAACTGGATTACATGAAAGCCGTTAAGTAACTGTGTTAGTTTATGTTCCATTGTAATTTTAAATATAAAATGTCTGTTATCTGCTCCATTTATTTTTAGATATGAAACAAAAATAGACCTGTTTAAAGAATAGGCTAAATATCACTAGGCTATAAGGCTTACGTCTTAGTGCATCATAACATAATTTTAATTCAATGGAGTTAGCCAGTAGGCTAATCAAACTAAGCGATTATATGACAAGAAATGAGACTAACTACTTAAAATGTGTTGCCACGCGACTACAATATTGAAGTTATTACTCAGACACTTCAGCGCAGTCAATAGCTAGATAACCACTCGAATTTGTCGGTATGTAAATCCTATAAAGTGGAACTTCGATATACCGCGGCTGTGACAATCTCCCCCAATACGATTACGGCTTTAACCCCCGGGAAAGGACCCCGGTACCCATTGTAGAGGAGGCTGGGTGGGCCCCAGAGTCGGTCTGGACGCAGAAGATCTCAAATGGGTTTTCAAACTAAAACAAAGTCAATTGAATAAAAATTTTCTTGGATATTATCCATCGTCTAGTAAATATAAAACGTAAAACGACGTTTCGGAGATGGTACTCTATCTCCGTCTTCAGGTTCCTACACAGTTGGGCCCACTAGATAGAGCTAATCCCTATCATGGTCTTGTGGGTTGTGAAACCGTGTGGTCTTGTAGATGGTTACCGACGTATCATCTTCAGGTTGGCTCTCCTCCGAAACGTCGATTACCACCTACAAGATCAAACGGCATCACAACCCACAAGACTAGACTCAAACCTCGCATTAAGATGACTAGAAGATATTCTGTTACCGGGTTCCTGGCAATTGAAAGTTCCTTTTA